AAAAAAGGCCAGCATTTTTCTAATCTCTGTACCAGTCAGCACACTCAAAAAAAGCAAAAGGAGTGAAAAAAGTCCCTATCTGCTTTCATATTATTTGTTCAGTTTTTGGTCAAAACGAAAGACAGCCTGACACCACTATTCCGTATAATATTATACCGATTCCAGAAATTTTAGTCGTCGTCCAAGCCTAATTTCCTTTGCTAGTTCCAGGCGTCTAGTATTTTTAAATTTGAAATTATTCACAAAAATCTGGACAGTTTGCTTCTTTTTGGTATCTTTTCATTCTACGATGATTTTGCGCGTTATACATTATGCTTTTTTTGTCTTCGTTTTAGGAACATTTATACGATACTTGCAACACAGTAGGGGCATGTAAAGCAGAAGATTAGATATGTTTCTTGAGAGTAACATGCAAAGAAAAGAAGGAGTTGGATGCCAGGATGTTTGATAGGAAAAACGGACAAACCACACCAGAGCACCCGTTAACCAACTGCAGCTGCATCATGAGTGAGCTTTAAAGACTATGCATTCTTTTTGCTTTGCTTACGATATTCGATTGTACCTAAATTACGTTTTATTCCGAAACAAGATCTAATATTTCTTTTAATTTGTTTCGGAAGTTGGAGTTGTAGCGGTAGTAGACGAAGCAATTAACAGAGCTATTTATGGTGTCTGTGAATATCCGCACGTGCACAATGAGCTGATACAGCGTTCCATATTTCCCGTAAATAGCGAATCCGTCTAGAAACATTCTACCAAACGCTATTCCCACTTTAGGCATGTTGCAGAGAACAAAGATGAGGGCTACAAGGCACACTTGGCGTACTGCCTGAAGTTCTTTCCCTTGCAAGGAGCTGGCCTGTTTCCTCAAAGGTCCAATTCTATTTCCAGATGCACGTTGGACAGAAGAACTTTGGAGTCGAAATTTTATTGAAGAAACCAAGCCATGCGCTAAGACGAAGAGGCAAAGTGAAACGATGAATTGAGCTGCCAACGTCATAATCGTATCGCCGACAATTTTCTCAAAGTTGCTCGACTTACGATAAACCTCAGTATATCGAATGACAAACCGGGAAATATTCTTCAAATCTGTACCGTACTGCTGGAATTCGTAAGTAAGAGACGAAGGTCCGTAAACCGCGAGGGATACGAGAGCAAGGATAGCTGTGGAGATGTAGCTCCGACGAGCTGTCACAAATCCTTTGAATCGTATCGGTTTGTAGACAGAGAGACATCTAAGTGTAGCGATGAACGTCGTTGTTAAAACAGACATGCAGTAGAAGGTGTCCCTGGTGTTGACGGATACCGTAGCAATGACGTTCGGATCGAACGAAAACCGTAAAACCGTAAATCCTTCAACGATGTACAATGCAACGAACAGCAGATAACCAAACGTTGCGCAGGAAGCTAGTAAATCGGAAACGGACTGAATGAAGAAGAGGAAAGTGACGCTGTCCCTTAAACCGAGGCTGAAAAACGTCACAATACTCAGACTGTTGCCCACGACCCCAATGACGGTCAGGAGGAACCACGGAAACATGGCGGCGGAGAGCGTGTAGTACAACTCCCGAGATATCCAGTCGTGCTGGTCTGGGAAGCCAGGTACTGCGAGTAACGTTGTGTAATTCGTCTTATACATGTCGCTCGCTGTAGGCTCACAAATGAAACTAGTTCCTAGCACGTCTTGTATAATATATAATATTATTATAATTAAACCGCTGATAAAACATATATTGTTATTGTTTTTACTGGAATAATTGGTAGCAGACAAGTCAGAGGTAAGTCAAGAGCAGCTTACTAGGAGATCTGAAAAGATTGTTGGCTTGGAACGACTAGGATAATATCGTGGAGTTCTTTTACAGCATCCGAACAAACACATGAATAGTGAACTCTGATTGCAGACGTTTGTTTCAGATCTGCCGGGTCATGATGATCCACGACATGATGATAATATGGGTGGAACAGGCTCAATGGCTAAGCAAAGGGATGTAGGTTGAAATGGCTCTCCTCTTTGGAGATGAAAAAAACAACAGCAGTAGTAGTAGAAATTTTGAGACTTGCTGGCTCTTCAGGCAGACTCATTCTCAAGCACAAAAGGCTCTTCTCTTTCTCAGGCGTGTTGTCTGTTGGTAAAACTACAATGTACTTATTCCATTCTCTACGGGTAAATTATGATAATTGAAAGACGTTTAAACTTCACACAAGTCCAAGACTTCACAGACCGATTTTACACATTTTACACAGAATAAAGCCCTGGCATGACAACAATATATTATTATACATGTCCGTCACAGATAATTGTTCTTCTTTGGTAAAGATGACAAAATGAGTGGACTCTCAATTTAAAGAAAGCTTTCACATTTGGACTAGAGTTTTTCCACGTATATGTATTTACATGTGAGGGGTGGGGTTGGAGGTGCGCTGGTGTCTGGAGAAGGTGTTTGGGGGAGGGGGGCTGATACAACATCAATGCATCGTTAACATCTGTCATTTCAGCTACGTCAATATTGCTTCATGATTAAAAACCATTATACAAGTTTGGGGTAATACGGGGGTTTAGTTTCATAACAAAATACGTGTACTTAGGTTGTTGTTTTTTTGTTATCAATAACAGCTCCTCAAACAGAATTATCACGCCGTAGACAACCCCGACGTTATCAATACGAGAAAGAAGCAAACAAACGGTTTTTCCCCTTGTCTTCCGAAGCACCATAAAGAATAACAGCTTTTCAAACATAATTTTCTCATTAGAAACGGCTTTGTTTCTAAGGGAACGATTTTTACGACAATGGATGCTCGTTACAGGCGATTATTACTACGTTGTCTGACATTGGCAGGTAAGACGTGTACTTATCACACCACTTCCACGGGGAAATTATTAGTGTACTTTTTTATATCTACCTGTACGGATATCATGTTTGTTGGGAAAACAAGGAGTCTGTTCATTTTAGAATGATTGTACTGATATTATGTTAATTTGGGGAAGAAGCCTATCAATTTATTTCAGAATTATCATACATTCTTTTTTGCCCTAACTAAAGAGGGTGATATAATATTATTTTACGCCACTGTACTGGAACAAGATTACCCTAGTTATCTTCTTTGTTAAAGGAGACTTTCCTTTAAAAAACAAAGTCATGAAACATGAATTTGAGCTTATTTAGCTGCAGAAGGTTTGATTTTTGTCCTCTCGGTAGTAATAATTCCTTGAAAATTCTGTGATACATGCGAAGAACAAATGGACTTTATGTCTGTTGATACTTTTCTCTCCTTCTTTCTCGTTAGAAAAGACTTTGAGGAATTTTTGTGGCAATGGAAACTAGTTACAGATTATTATTACAGCCAGAGACAGTACGTGTACTTATCGCACTACATCCCACAGCAAATAATTGGTGTACATTTTGATATCTTCCTGTACTGGGTTTGTAGTTGTTTGTAGAATAAGCTTGTCCTTCTATTTTAAATTCACTATACAGTCCTTGTTTGCCCTAATTAAAACGGATGGTATCTAAATTGAAGCTTGCGTGCTGAAAAAACAAATTACCTCATTATCTTCTTGTTGAACTCAACAAATTCCGAATCATAAATTTGATTTGATTTGCTCAAGAAGATAGATCCGACTTCTTGCTCTTTCTGGGTTGATAAAGGCATTGGAATCCTTGAATACACGCGGACACCAATTTGACTATATTATGTCTGTTCTCACTTCTCTCTTTTTACTTTTTTGTTTTGGCTTTGTATTGACATTGAGAGAGAGAGAGAGAGAGAGAGAGAGAGAGAGAGAGAGAGAGAGAGAGAGAC